CCCTACAGGCTGCACACAGTCACGAGGTAGTTCCTAGGAACTTCCCAGGCACTTCACGTGCAGGAGGCAGGAGGCAGTCTTCAGTATTCGGCAGCGGCACTCTGGAGGAGCGCTGCAGTAGTAGTAGTAGCGTTAGCAGTAGTCTTCAGCGCTGGGCGCTATTAGGAACTAGCGTAGTAGAGGAGAGAGAGAGATGGTTGGCGGAGGCCAGGGAGACTTACCTGTGGCGCCATTGCTCCAGCTTCGTCTTCGATGTATACCTGCAACAAGGCGCCACCTTCACAGGTTAGTACCGGACTGAGAGAGAGAGAGTTCTTCTTCTTCCTCTTCTAAGTCCACTATCTCCTCCTCCCCCTCTCGCTACCTAACTTCTCAGTACCTACAGACTACGAGAGAGAGAGATTGGTGACTTTGGGACTTAACGACATTGGATCCAGACTCGACATTGGGATTCAGACATTTGACGAGGGATTATTTGGGGCCTGTGCCGAAGACTTGGTGTTGACGACATTCCCATCTTCCCCTCTTCTTCGTCTAACCCCCCTCTTCTTCGTCTGTGTATGGTTGGGGGCTGGCGCATTCTTCCTGTGTGAGCGCCAGGCCCCTTCACACCATGGAATGATGATGATGTATGTTTGGGCTACATTGCAACATTGATTGTTCGGATCATTGGTGTTTAAGCCTCTTCCGCTGTGTTATCTTATACTTTGTGGGAGAGGTCGGTTCTTGTTCTGGTCGGCACCTTTACGGTATGCGACAGTTTGGTATCGGAGCGGACCTCTCAATCAGAGGACCTGCTCAATCAAGTAGCCAGCTTGCTTGATCTATTGATTGTTTATTAGTAAATCACGTAGGACTTCGTCAAATCTCTGAATTTTTCTTCTCTTTCTCGCAACAAATATCTGAAAATTTCTGATAAATTGATAATAGCATTTCGTTTTATCTGAAAATTCTTGATAATAGCATTTCATTTTATCTGAAAATTTCTGATATTAGCATTTCGTTTTCACGCAACAAATATCTGAAAATTTCTGAAAGTAGCACTTCGTTTCTCTGATATTAGCATCCGAAATTTCTGATATTCGCATACATAGCTGAAAATTTCTGATGTTAGCACTTCGTTTCTAGGCATATTAGGATAACGATAGAGGTGGTCATATTCTCGGAAACCGGATTTATTCTTTTCTGAAAATCGAATCTCCATTCTATCTCGCAAACTTTTTTTTGAAAACCGAGATCTTGCGAAGCCTATCAGCATTTCGTTTTTAGTTCTTTTCTGAAAATCGCGTCTCTACTCTATTTCGCACAAATTTTTTCAAGATCGCATTTTTTTTTGAAAGCCAAAACTTTGCGGAACCTTGGCTAGATCTCGCTCATAGTACTCCTCTGAAATGCCTCACTCATAGCAGATCGACAGATATACCAAAAAAAAAAAAAAAAGGGGGGGGGAGGGTGATCCTCTTCTTTTATTTTTTATTTTATTTTATTCTGTTGATTAGGACCGGGAGGAAAGTATAGCTTGGTTGGTTACCTACCTGCGTTTTCCCTCCCACCCAACCCTTTGCCTGCATTCCCGGTTTGGTACAGTGCCACGTCAGCAGCGCCACGTCAGTAGTGCCACATCAGCAGTGCCACATCAGCAACAGTGCCATGTCAGCAACAGTGCCATGTCAGCAGTGCCACATCAGCAACAGTGCCACGTCGGCAACAGCGCCACGTCAGCAACAGTGCCATGTCAGCAACAGTGCCACATCAGCAGTGCCACGTCAGCAGTACCACGCCAGCAACAGTGCCCTGCCACCATGACGGTCTCAGTTCTGGGCATGCCAGGCCAACTGGCCAATGAGCCCATTGCCGAGTACCGACAGTGGTTCCAGGCTCAGCTCGCACTGATCGAGGTTGAGGAACAGCGTCAAGCGTCAGCCGAGGCTGCCCGCCTACAGGCTGAAGCGGCGGCAGCAGCTGAAAAGCAGCGGCTTCAGGCCGAAGCAGACACAGATACCCAGGCACGCCTCAAGGAATCCCAAGATCTGCTACAGCGAAGCCGCCAGCATCAAAAAGCTCAAGTTCAGGGATTTTGAACCATCCGAGCACCACGAAGAAGCGACACCGGAAGAGCAGCACAAGGAGTTTCTTGCCAAACTCGTGACCCGACTGGTTTACACTTGTAACCACCTACAGTCCGAGCTGGCGAATCTCCGACAGGCGGTGCGGAACCACAAGTATCTGCATGAGGATGCTACATGGGCACTTGATTCCCGTGTACAGGACTTGGAGCAAGTTGCACCAAGACCGGATGCTGGCGAGTCCAGCAGTGCACCCTCTACCCGCCAATTGGAGGAACGAGTTGACCATGTAGTCGCAATGCTCGGCGACATCAGCACCTTCGCTGCACCAACCACCATCATCAAGCAGGTGGACACCTTGAAGACTGAGGTTCAGCAACTGCACCAGCTGCCCAACAAGGATGGCAACGCCAGTGCGCAACACTACAAGATGCCGACATTCCGCATCGAAAAGTTCGATGATTATATGCATCAAGACCCAGTCCCCTGGTGGAAGGGCTTTACGACGGAACTTCGGATTCTTTTCGTCCCCGAGCACTCGTACATGGGCGCGCGGATGCCAGATCTGGCTCAGCCACCTTGCAACCATCCACTGCGTCTAAGTCGCTGATCTACATAAGAAGATCTCTTGGGACGAGTTGACGAAGCTATGGAAGAAGCGGTTCATCGTGGATGATGCCCCAACGCTCGCCATCAACCGCCTCTTCAGCATGACTCAAGGCAACACACCAACACGTGACTAGCTCACGGAATGGCAAAAGATCGTGGCAACGCCCGATCTCGAGTTGCCATTTTCGCATCTGCGCTGAGAATTCTACAACCGGTCATGCGCCGCCTTGATCCTCGCACTTGGTGATCGCGAGCAATACACGACCTTCGTCGAAATCATCAACAAGGCAAGGGAGATCATCAAGGCCAACAGGGCGGCTGCACACGAGAAGTCAGCGTGGCAGCCAACCTATGTGGAGAAAGGAAAATTTGGTCCGCGTCCGCAGCATGTCGCTGCAGTCCAACCGTACAACATTGTGGAAGACCCGACAGCCACCCAAGCATCACGTGAGGGAGATCAGGTGGCCGCTGTCCACCCGGGAATCAACAATAACTCCCGAGGAAAAGGGAAGGCGAAAACCGCATCGCCGACCAGAAACAGACAGCCAGCACCATTACAAGTGACGCAGCTGGTATGGCTGCTGCTATTGGTGCAACAGCACCAAGCACAAGACCTCCCAATGCCCGGATCAAGGCAAGGAGGATGTTCGGCCTCGCATCAACTTGGGAAACTGAGTTGCGCGGGAGGTGAGGCGACTCCACCTCTCACTCCGCCAGATTCGGTCGCCTTGCTAGTGGCCTCCTACACATCTGGGAAGGATGCGAATGTCGCAAGTCCTCGGTTCACTTACAAGGATTATGTTGTACACTTGGTCCCACCGTTGGAGCAACCACTCCACGTGCAACAATCCACCGCATGCACGGTTTCACCACCATCGGCAACCGATTCGGCAGCTTCGCCGCCATCTATCGTCGGGGATTCGACGTCATGGTCAAGACTTGAAGAGCTCGACCCGTTGACGTTTGCGGACTTCCAATGGATGCCCCTTCCCCCGCCCGGTCGATTGCCGAAACCGCATTGCGACGTGCTCATGGCACAATTGCGGGATTACTTGCACACTGCAGTACCATCTTCATTGATGGACGCCGGAGTAGAGGTTGTCGACCTTCACGACTACGTTGCAAAGATCGACCGCGAGTTCAAGACATAATGGTACGACGACATCGACGCGCCATTGTTATACATACGCATTCAGATCGGAGAGGCGACCTGCAGCGCTATTGCGGAGCTACTTGCAATTACGTGAGCCAAGACTTTATGGTACGCGATGGCCTTGGGCCACGTGTTCGGAGGAAGTTGCAGCCCACGCAAGTCACGTTGGCCGACGGTCACACGCACAAGTTATTGTCTGATGCATTGATGCCGTCCCCGTGTACTTTGCCCCGCATGCAAGCGAGGCCGTGTCCTTCGACATTTTGGACACCAAGTTTGACATGATCTTGGGCAGGATCACCCGGTGAACTTCTATCGCCGCACCATTCACATTCGTGATCGAAACGGAGTACTAGTCCCATGCACGGTGCCTCGGCCTCACCGTTCGATCAGCTGCCACGTGGTGTCCGCCGAAAGCATTCGAGCTTCCATCATCAGGGATGACATCGCGGAGATGGGTGTGTGTTTTCTCCACGCCCTCCCGCCCCAAGACATCCCGTCGACGGACTCATCAGCGGACCCACGCATCACCGAGCTTCTCGACACCTATGACGACGTGTTCGAAGCCCCGCACGGAGTAGTACCGGATCGGCCCATTCGCCACGAGATCATCCTCGAGGCGGGGCCGTACCTCCGCGTGGGTGCATCTACTGCATGAGCGAGGAAGAGTTCAGTGTGCTACGGGCACAACTCGACGACCTTCTCGAGAAAGGCTGGATTCGGCCTAGCCCCTCGCCATACGGTACTCCCGTTCTCTTCATCCGGAAGAAGAACAAGGACTTGCGGTTGTGCATCAATTATCGCAAGCTCAACGGGCAAACCGTCAAGAACGCCGGCCCTCTTCCGCGCATTGACGACCTCCTCGAACGGCTGGGCGGCGCCAAGTTCTTCTCCAAGCTTGACCTCAAATCGGGATATCTCCAACTCGAGATCTGGCAGGAGGACCGCTACAAGACCGCGTTTAAGACGCGATATGGGCATTTCGAATGACTGGTTATGCCTTTTGGCCTCACGAATGCCCCGACCATACATGCTGGATAGATTCGTACTCATCTACCTCGACGACATCTTGGTGTACAACCGAAGTTTGGACGAGCATGTGGAGCGCCTGCGCACCGTCTTGGAGCGGCTACGACAAGCCAAATACAAAGCCAACTGCGACAAATGCGAATTCGCGCGGCAAGAGCTGGAGTACTTGGGACATTATGTGACGCCGCAAGGCATCCGTCCGCTTGCGGACAAGATCGAGGCCATCCGCGTATGACCCGAGCCCACCAACACCACGAACTTTCGCTCATTCATGGGGTTGGCAGGCTACTATCAACGCTTCATCACCGGGTACTCAAGGATTGCCACACCTATGACGAGATTACAATTGCCAAAGGTGCCATTCGTATTCGATGACGACGCACGCCGATCATTTCAAGCACTCAAGACGGCCATGCTCAAGGCACCCGTCCTTAGCATCTATGACCCCACCTTGCCAACGAGAGTGACAACTGACGCTTTCGACTATGGCATTGGGGCAGTCTTGGAACAACACGACGGCGACAACTGGCACCCCGTGGAGTATTTCAGCCACAAAGTGCCTCCCATCAATTCACTTGATGATGCAAGGAAGAAGGAGCAACTCGCGTTCGTGATGGCTCTCAAGCGATGGCGACACTTCCTCCTTGGGCGTCATAGGTTCACATGGGTCACGGACAACAACCCGTTGACCTACTACAAGACGCAGGACACGGTGAGCAGCACGATCGGACGATGGATGTACTTCATCGACCAATTTGACTTCACACCGAAACATCTCGCCGGCCTCTCCAATCGCTCAGCGGATGCACTCTCACGAAGACCCGATCTTTGCGCTATGACACATCATGCCTTCGCATTCGACGAGGAACTCCAACGATACTTCATCCGGGGCTATGAGTCCGATCCGGATTTTGCCACGTTATATGCGCAACTCTCTTCGGATCACCCACCGGCCAGCCACTATCGCATCGTCGACGGGTACTTGCTCCTCCACTGGAGAGGCAAGGACTTATTATGTGTCCCACGAGACCGTCGTCTTCCGACTCGCCTTCTCGGCGAGTACCATGACTCGCGACTCGCCGGCCATTTCAGAGTCAATCGCACTATTGCACGACTTCGGTAACGATTCCGATGGCCCGACCTCACTACCGATATCACTTGGTATTGCGACTCTTGCGAAGTTTGCTGACGCAGCAAGCCCCGCAACCGCAATCCCTACGGCGACTTGCGCCCGATGCCTATCGCACGGGAACCCGGCCTCTCTATTGCCATGGACGTCACCGGTCTGTTTCCCCGCGACCGCCTCGGGCACGACGGCATCCTCACGGTCGTTGACCGTTTGAGTAAGTACGCGTGTTTTTTTCCTCGCAAGTACTACGCCACGGCTCCCGAACTTGCGTGCCTCTTACACACCGGCTGGATTTGCAGCCACGGGGTACAGGAAGACATCGTCAGCGACAGCGACACTCGCTTCATGTCGGCATTTTGCACTTCTCTCATGCAGGAATCCGACACGAAGATGAAACCAAGTTCGACTCGGCATCCACAAACGGACGGGCAAACGGATCGGGCACATCAAACCGCTCAAATGATGCTTCATACGCTCATCCGTCCAGATCATAAAGATTGGGTTGACCGCCTCCCCGACATTGAGTTCGCCTACAACACTTTGTGCATCCGGCGATCAGCGTGACTCCATTCAAGTTGCATCACGGTGGCCGGAAAGGCCGTATCTTCGCTGATCTTCTCCTCCCACGAACAACCGACATAGACGCTGCTTGCTCCCCCGCTTCCGTTCGAAAGTACAAGTAATTGTTGGCTCAAGCCCGCACGAACATGCAAAAGGCTCAAGTTCGAATGCAGTAGCAAGCCAACAGGCGTCACGTGCCATGTCCCATCCGTGCCGGTGATCTGGTTTGGGTCTCCGCGGAAGAGTTTGCACTCGAGCAGGATGTTTCGCGCCAAGTGGTTTGGACCATGGCCCGTAACATCAGCCGCGGGCAATGAGCCCGATGGCCCCTCATTTGCGATCAACATCCCCCCGCATCTGACGGTCCATCCAGTCTTTCACGCCTCGAAGCTGGCGACATATACACCAGCTAAGAGTGACGACTTCCCAGGCCGACGATCGCAAGATCCTCCATCTATGGATGGTCATTAGGAAGTTGACCGCGCCATCACGGATCGCAAGTACGGCAGCAAGCCTCAACAATACAAGGTTACATTCAAAGCATGCGATCCCGACGACACTCGATGGATTTCAGGAGCAGATTTGAAAGCATCCGCACCGCTGATGCGCTACGAGCGACAAAGGTTAGCTAAGGGAACTTCACGACCTGCCCCTCCCACCCGGACTGTGGTCCCTTCCTCAGACAGACAACTTCGCCCTCGCAGGTAAGCTCGATCATTCAAGGAGGGGAGATTGTGGCATACTGCGCAGCCACACGGGCCTGCAAGGCCCGACCAGCGTTCTCAGCGTAGAAGCTTGAAAACAAGGGCCTACAGGCCCTGTGTCGTTTTCAGCCTAAAAGCCTGAAAACAAGGGCTTACAGGCCTTGTGTCGTTTCAGCCTGAAAGCCTGAAAACGAGGGCCTTCAGGCCCTATGTCGTTTCAGCCTAAAACAGGGCCTTGAGTCTTTTCAGCCTGAAACGGAGGGCCATTTTCGGGCCCTCATAAGATCGACCTGCCCTGAAACTTAGGCACCAGACCAGGGTTTTAG